ATACAATGGTTACCATTAAAAAGTCAATATTTACTCACAGTTACCATATCACGTTATTGTGTATTATTAGTATACGGAAATACGGTGGTACCTTAGGCCTGGTCTACACTACGGAGGTAAGTTGACTTAAGTTACGCAACTCCAGCTATGTGATTAATGTAGATAGAGTCAATGTAGTTTAGGTCAACTTACTGCGCTGTCTACACCACACTGGGTCGCCGGGAGAAACTCTCCCGTCGACTTACCTTATGCTTCTTGTGGAGTATCGGAGTCGACGGGAGAGCAATCTGTGGTCAATTTAGTGAGTCTTCACTAGACCTGCTAAATCGACCCCCGGTGCATCGATCACCATAGCGTCGATCCCCAGTAAGTGTAGACATAGTCTTAACTCTGAGCACTTGTCTACGCTACCGCACGGGGTCGATTTAAGATACACAACTTCAGCTACGTGAATAGCGTAGCTGAAGTTGACGTACTTAGATCTACTTACCGCGTTGTCTTCACTGCGGGTAAGTCGACAGCTGACGCTCTCCCGTCAACTCCGCTTATGCTTCTCATTCTGGTGGAGTACCGGAGTTGACAGGAGAGTGTTCAGCGGTCTATTTATCGCGTATATACTAGGTGCGATAAATCGAACCCCGCTGGATCGATTGCTGCCCACCGATCTGGCGGGTAGTGTAGATAAGCCCTGAGTCTACAAATTGGACCTGCCTGGGCTGATCCTTTTGCCTGGGTGAAGCTCCACTGAATTTAATGGAACTTTGTGTTGGCACAAGAATCGGATTGTTGATCAGTTTGCAGGTTTGAGGCTTTATGTAACACTGTGGTAATGGACAAATATTGACTATCCCTGCACATGTCATACTGTATCATATGTCTAATGCTGCACCCTTTACTGGAACTAAAATACAAATCATGTTAAAAATCATGCTGCATTTGCTGCATGAGGCAATTTATTTTTTTAAGTGAGAGATTTAACAACAACAGCATTTTTGTGTAGGGTGACCAGATGTCCCGATTTTATAGGGACAGTCCCGATTTTTGGGTCTTTTATCTCATATAGGCTCCTATTACCCCCCACCGCCTGTCCCGATTTTTCGCACTTGCTGTCTGGTCACCCTGTTTTTGTGTGTACCTTATGACTAATCTAAGTATTCTCCTATGCACTCAGATACCTTTCTACCTTTGCTTCCTACTGCTACAGAGTCCACTGAACTCCAAGTTTTTCAAAGTGGGTTTTCTTTTAATATCTGTAAACCTATCACAAAAAGATATTCTCTCTAGCTTCAGTCTCAAGGCAGTGATTTGTGCACTTATAGGTGTACTTTGTTTAGTGTCACCTATGGTGTAGATTGGATAGATTTTGTAAAAGATAGCATTACTTTTAAAGAAACATACAATTTGACAAGCTATTGCATTTTACCTTCATTTTATTGCCATATTTTTCATCACACTCATTGTTTTCCAACGGTCATGAAATTGTTCATTTTCTTAGTCTGTTACATTTGTAGACCTATTTACTGTTTATAAAGCAATATGCACTTACAGGTTTTGGAGATGGCTTGGGCTCCGAGGGTCGCATGTGCAAGTGGGTCATCATTGCTTGAAGACGTTCACGTTCTTTAGAAAGCTGTTAAGAAAGAGTGAGATCAGAAGCATTTTAGAAATGACTGATACAGCTATTTTATTGCAGTGATACATCTTATCATTGAGCTTGTCTCACTGTAATGATTCCTGCATATAAAAGCCTATGTCAGTAGAAAGTTATCTGAGAGGAAACGCAACTTTAGCTAGGGGAAAAAAAAACTTTTATAGCCTTTCTTATGTTAAAAGGTCAGAGAAAACAAATAACACTTCATCTTTTTGTCAATAAGAGAATTGAGGTCACAGTTGCATCGACAGTAACAAGTTACTAAGACCATAAATTAGAAGGCCCATAGTGTCTCTTTAAAGTCCTGTGGACACTGTTAGCAATGGACTAGTGCCAACAGCTGTGAAGGGGTGAAGGGTCCTCAAAGCACAGTGCCTGCCAGGATTGTCTACACACTTCATCCTTTCCCACTGAGGTCCAGTTAGTGCCCCCTGCAATCTGCCATCATCAATCTAATTCAATAGAGTGACAGAGACCAGGCAGTGTGAAACGCTGAACTCTGCTACTGAGTCGGCATCTACACTGCACTGGGTCTCATTACAACTGATGGACCTTACTTTTCTATCAGTCAGACAAAGCAAAAAAATGGCATAATTGGTCACACTGCAAGCAGAATCTTCAGTTGGACTGTTACGTTGCAGCAGACCCTCTGTAAATTGTAAACAGTCCTTAAGAAACCTTTACATCTGCTTCAGAAAACATTTCATGTTCTTTTCAAAACCTGCGTTTTATTCGGATTCATGATTGATTTTCACATCATTCAAAACCACAAAATATTTGTCTTTTCAGATTCCAGGGATCTTGCCACATTAAAAAAAACACACAGAAAAGTGTTTTAAAATGTTGAAAATGCTGATAAAATGTAAATAGATACAAAGAAAAATATCTATTGTTTTACACAGTAAATCTAGGTAAAAAGAACTACCACTTAAAAGATGTGTTCTATTTACATTAATCTGGATACCAATAAAATGATTACTGCGCTTGTGGAAATAAGAAATCAGTTAGTGGTTAACACTGCTGTTTTCTTAGAGGTTTCTAAAGCTTTCTTGTATGAATTTTGTGTTAAAATTAGTTCAAATGCTAGAGCTACAATACAAAATTAGGAATGTGTTAAAGTAGACAACTGGGCTAGCTCATTATATAGAGCAACAAAAAATTGGTTCTGTACTACCTGTGCTACTGTAGATATTTTGCCATTACTCCTACCTAGAAGAAAGTACTAGATATAATTTGGATAGTGCATCTTTAATTAAAAACACACTTGAGGCAGGGGAGCAAAAAGATTTTTTTCTAGGCTTTATATTATATGCACGACACTTTAGAAATATGCCATTTGCCATGATCTAAAACTAAGAAAAAAAGGCCAGATGAGCTAACATTAAGCCTGTAAGCTCCGAGCTTCTAAAAGCAACTAGAGCTTCGTTTGAGTTTGTAGTTCACACACATCAAGGGAAAAAAGTGAGATGATTATATTTTCTCATAAATATTTTTGGTTTCTGGTATTAAAATACAAAAGAACCAAATAGCATTAGTTTTGTAAAGAAGAAACAAAAATGCGTACACAAAATGTGTCCATGTTACATCAATAACATCATTTACCAAAAGTCAAGAAATGTAAATAGTTCTATATCTTTCCTCTGCAAGTGTATCACTTCTTCATACATAAAGAAACACAAAAGAGAGAGGACCAATCCTAGGCTGTGATCCTGTTGCTCTGCAGCACTCCATAGTACAAATGACTCCAAACATAGCGGATATAGCCCGGATGACTACCCCCTGCAGCCCACGGTGGTGGCATAGCTGAGGGAAAGGTAATATGGCTGCGACTGTCCCTGAATGCTGGTGATCTCTGGCTGCTGTAGTGGTTTCTCAAGTCTTTCAGTTCACACTACCCCTGTGTCAGAAGATAGGACCAGCACAAAATGGCTGTAGGATTGGGGGCCCCAGCGAGCACTCCTTGACTATAGCTGAAGATTTGGCCCAACATCTTTAAGCAATAGTTCTGTAATTGTGATGACCACAAAGGGAGGTTTGCCTGTGACAGGACTGGAAGATCTATATGCATGACAATGCTTCCTCCTGGACTGAGTCAGAATAGCTCAACTGAGTATCACAGGCTCTCTACTATTGTTGATGAAGATTCTACATTAGCTTAAGTGCTAAGAGTCTGTGCATTGTAAACTAAGTGCTTTAGTCATAGTGCAGCTATTCTGGTGGCTGGTGTAAAACAGAACAGCAATTGATAAACCCTGTATTGCCAGGCATTTGTTACAGTGCTTTACAGATTCAAAGTGACATACACATATTAACTAAGTAATTCCCCCAATATTAACTACCTCACAAGTATGTTGTTGCCCCAATTTAGAGATGGGAAAACTGAGACATGAAATAGGTGAGGTGACTCGCCCAAGGCCGCTGAAGAAGTCATTGTCAGAGCTGAAATTAGGCTCAATCCACTAGACCATGCCGACTTCAGAAAATTGCTGGGAGTTTCAAAACATGAAAGTTTTTAACAAAGTCTCAAAAACATTCTAAGACCTTTTTATGAACATCAATAAATCTGAGTCAAGAGACGCAGGCCTTTTATCCTAGAGCCATTGAGACAGGCGCTTTAAAGAAAATGAAAAATAAATAGATGATATGACCATGTAACAAACCTGTATTTCTAACTGCTGAACCACTTGCATTTGCACCCGACACTGAGCGGTGCTTCTGTCATCCAATGCATGTTCATTGTTAAGGTGCCTAGTAAAGAAAGAAAATACTAATAAAATACAGGATTAGGGTGAGCATAATTTCTTTATTAATCAAATTTGCTTCTTCTGTGGATGGGACACTCATTAATGTCAATGGAACATTTGTAAAAAGCTCTAAGTTGAACATGCTAGTATAAAACTATGTAAGATAACTATCAGTTCTGTGACATTTTTATTTTGATCCATAGTGTTCCCAGCTGATAAATGCTAGGGGCCCAGTTCTCCTGTGTGTTCAGGTTACTTTGCACATCTCTGCCAGCACAAAGCAGCCCTTAAGCCAGACTACCTGTCTACTGACAGATTTCTCCTGTGAAAGGGATCCTTGAATGGCACAGAGCCAACATAGTGATTTCTACACTACCTTCACACCCTGCTGCTGGTATAAGTAAGTGGCCAGTACATCTTTAGACTCCACTGATCCCCAGCTGCTGTAGTGACTCCTTCAGGCTGTCCTGAATTAGTGCAGCCCCCCATGATGCTTTCTTTATCTGCTCTTCTTTAATTTTTTTTGTTTTTGTTTTTTACAATCTGGCATCACAAATACTAAGGAACAGCAAGCAATAGTAGAACCTCAATGATTTGCACTAATAACCCCCCAAAGAAGTCTCAGAACACAATAGAACTGATGCAGCTCCACAATCAAGGATCAGCTGGGAAGGGTGAGGCACTGGCAAAGTGCAATTGCACACCTAGTGTGCACTGCAGAGTGACTCCCCCTGGCAGCCTCTTGGAGGAGGGTCCCGGATGTGACTATTGGACCAGAAATTATGCAAATACAAAACCAAATCTCCTGTATGGGGGAAAGAGCACATAGTGGCCATGAGGCAGCCAGTAAGCTGGGCACAGCCTAGGGACTTGAGAGATTGTGTCTCTGAAGATACATATGGGGCACCACTGCACAAGGCAGGAGACAGGAAAGTTGATTTCAACTCTTAGGGCAAATTATGCCTCCCCCCTCCAAATTGTGGAAGGCCCTGTTTATAGCACATTGGCTGCATGATGTGGGTTTTCTCTTTTCACAACAGTGTAGAGAAGGTTTGGGGAGCAGGACAAGGAAGAAACGGAGGCTAGGGCATTGGCTCTGCAAAAATGTGGACTCACTGGCTATTTCTCTTGCAGACCAGAGGTCAAGAGCTGCAGGAACTATTGTGCAGAATCATGGCTGAAGATACAACCATCCATGCCCTGGGAGAAAGATAACACCCTCCCTACTTTCTTCCGAACTCCTCATTGTACAACATAGTTGCTTGATTCTTTTGCTGTAGGCAGATTTGCCTCTTAGTGAACAAACAATGAAAAAGCAAAGGATATTGCATCTGACCTTCACCACAGTTCTTTGTTTAACTTTAGTTTTTTAAAAAGAGAATAGAAATCACAATTTTTTTTATGCTGATGATGGGATTTGCATATGAGTGAGGTTTGACGGAGAGGTTTTACTACTAGTGCAAGAGGCATGGGGAAAAGAAGTATGACATTTTAGTTTTAGATCAAGTAGTTTTGTGTGAAACTAAAATTAATGATTTAAATATTGGAGAGAATTATTTGCAATAAGCTTAAGTTTCACCAAAAATGGATTCAAAGACACACTGTCTCCTTTCACCTGACCCTTAGTTTTAAACTGCATCCCCCTAACTTTTTTGCAGTTGCAAAAATCGAAGATGGAGCCTTAGACATAAGACTTGGTATATTTAGAATGTGTTCTTTTGTCTTCTAACATTTTTATTTAAAAGAATAATTTCACTTCACCAACCAGGTATGTTCATCTGAAAGAATGAATTGTCAAAAATTCTCATTTTTTTATGATGGGTTCATTTCCACTGATTTTGAAATTAGGATAAATAGATAATCAGCTAATTAATGAATACATTTACTGAATGGCCTTTCACAACATCCTCTTCATTACACAGGCATATCTGTATTCTTACAATGTATGTGATTTATTAACACAATATTCATTTTTAACATGTTTTCAGGTAATTTATTACAAAGTTGACATACTTACTAGTTTCTAGATAAAGTGGATAGGGTAATTTTAAACCTGATGCATATCTGTGTCAATTTTAAAATAAAAATGAAAAACAAAGAGAGATAGAGGGCATGTGTGTGTGTGTGTGTGTGTGTGTGCATACCACCACACACCCGCTTGAGGTGACTACATACTCATTATTATGTATTACTTAATACAGCACCACATGTTTGCATGACACTTTACAGAACAGAGATAGACAGAGTCCCATCTTTGAGGAACTTAAAAATATAACAGAAATGTGCAACGTGGAAGAAGGAAGTCCAGTATAAAAGCAATTTCAGTATGATGATCACATAGTAACCTGGGAGACTACAGCACATTGTTGAGGGTTACAAAGTAATCCTGATACTGAGTGCCAATACAACCTTTATGTCATTATGTCCATCATATAGTTGTTTATGTTTTGTATTTTAGAGAAAAATTATTTTAGGAAAGTGATAAGAGCTTGAAAATTTTTATTAGGATGATTTTTTCTTATCCCTTTGCCTGTGAAGATTAGTTTCTTTATTTATCATGAATGTTCAGGCAGTGTAGTGACAGAAAAAATAGGTCTAATATATTTTAAAAACCTCTAAAATATATTTTTGGCTCCAAATTTAGGATCCAATATTTTGCAATGTGCCAGGACTAGACATACACTTTGTACCTCTGGAAGGCTGTGTATACAAAAAAGTATACGTTTTTTGTTTCTTGCCTTGCAGATCGAGTTATCAGAAGTTTGGAATGTTAAAAGAAGTCCCAGCTGAGGTGGATTATTGGTCTGAAAGTGGGTGATGAGATGAAAGGGGCAAAATAAATGCAACTTACTTCATGATTTAGTATTTTAATACATGGTTGAACAAGTAAAGGGATTTTCCCCCGGTTATCATGGTGACAAATTTGATATTAAATTATTAACTATATATATTTGTATAAGAAAGTATTAATATAATAAGTAATGCACACTGTAATTAAAGTGCACTAATGATAAATTATTACTGTAAATAATATGATTTGAGTGTCTTAAAACAGATAAGAGATTAAAAAGCTTGAAAACACAGTGGGATGGATTTTGAAATGGGTCAGATGGATCTGGATTCTGTAATGCAAATGATACTGTAGCTTTGTAGGTGAGAACAGATATGGTTTCAGCAAAGATTCTAGTGGACGTTTACCTATATCAATTAATCTCTGTGTAACTTGGCACTCTTGTCAGTCTCTGCTCACAAGAAGCCCATGACTAAAATAGCAGTGCTATAGGTCAGGAGGGAGGTGCACTGGAAGAGCTATTTGGGGGAATATACACAGAACCTGTCTGCCCTGTGTTCAGTTCCAGCCAGTACTATTATGAGCCTCACTTTAATGAGCACTAAAATTCACTCACACTTTTTTTTTTAAAAGGAGAATGTATGTTCACAAAACATGGTCATTTTATACTATAAAAGTCAAAGGAAAATTCTTTAAAAGCATTTGTAACAAATGTTTATATTCTGAAAGTAATTTTTCCAACTGAGCTGTCCAGAAGCTTTACCATTAAGTTTAAATGCAAAACCTAATTTTAATGCTCAGAAAATAAATACAATTTTAAAACTAAGAAATAAAAAATATACATTCCCAGTATTGGACTACAGCAGTGGTTCTCAATCTGGGGTATGCATACCCCTGCGGGTATGCAGAGATCTTCCAAGGGTGCATCAACTCACCTAGATATTTGCCTCGTTTTACAACAGG